CTATCTGTGTTCTCTGTATGCATAATTTTTCGCTCTTTACGTAGAATGTTTTTTATCACTGCTAGATTTTTTTAATGTCAAGAGACACATATGCGTACCGTCGAGAAACTGTAATCGGGTTTGTTATACGGTGACTCTCATACCTGTGTAGTTTGGCGTACCAACGATTTCAATTTTTTTTAATTTTTCATCAGGAATGATGTTGTTTATGTCTGCCTGATATCACCTGCAGTTAGCCCAAACTCAATTCACTTAATGTATTATACATACACGTGTTTAATCAACAGCCACACTCGAATAAATCACTGCTTAATACCCCCTGTGACGTCGAAATTGATAGCTTCGCTTCTGCTGCCGAGAGTCGCTTTGGCGTTCGATTATCGTGTAATAGTCGCGTATAGCTAAGCTCACCACTACCACCCCCTTCCTCGTTAACAATTTATTCCCATCATCCAACAACTCGATAGTACGTTAAGTTGACTGTGAAGATTTACGTGTGTACTTTTGCGTACTTTAATACTACAATAAAGTCAACGTTGGTCCACTCTCCGTTGATGGATGGATTTTTGTGCTCATCATTTGGGCATACCTACTCTCGAGGGCGTGAGTCATTTCTTTACTTATTCAATAATGAAGTAGTAATATCGTTTCGATGCATCGATATTACATCAAGATCATGTCACAAGATGGATTACCCCACCATCTAATTGTCAGAGTCTATGAAAAAAAAAATATATATATATATATGAGAGAAAGTCATTTTGCGGTAGGAGTGTGATTAATTTCCTGGCAGTAACGTACCTATATGTTAACTATGTATGCACTGAACGGGTGCACGTGTGGTTTCTTTTCTCTTCGCTCGCAAATAATATTCTCTCGGAGTAGGGCCCTATACTTTTTCAACGAGATTGAATTGAAGCCGTGGGGCTTTTTCTACCCTATACACGTATGGTAGCTACACCGTATACGCTCAATCGGAACAAAGAAGAACGATGACTAAAACTTTTTTGGCTGCTCGTACGCTTGTTTTGTTACTCTTTCTTCTTTTTTCTTTCAGGCGTATTATTCTCTAATAAAAGCGGAAGCCATAGATGGGAGGATGGGGGTGTCCTGCAGGCAGATATTTCCCTTTACCACCGATCTTTCCTCGTGAGCCTACTGTTGTCCTGACAAACGAACGTTTTTTTTACCATAAGTACGTTTTATTAAAAATCATTTCGAAAGCTTTTGGTTGTTCAAATTAAAAATTGGTTGTCAGGGCACACTTTCAATGATTTATCTGGGGAAAGCGTTTATTCTTTAGGAAATCGTCTAAAAAGTTTCTCGGGTATCCCTCAAGATAAAACAAAAAAAAAAGAGCTGACGAGTTCTGCAAGAAGGTAGAGGAAGGAGGAAACTATTCGGCAAATTTGCCATCCATGAACGAGCAACTTTCCAAGAGGGACTGAAAAGAGCGAAGTGTTCCTGTCATGCTCATCGCTCGGGAAAATTGGCTTAAGCAATCCAAACGCGAGCCGACTAATCGATTACCTTCTGCATCTGATGGCGGTGGTGAAATAGACTTTCGATTGCGCAGGACGCCTCCTCCATCTTTCCCTTTTTGTTTTCCACCAAGAATTGACCGAATTCAGCTGTCCGAGATAAAATGTTGAGATTGTGCTCGCGATTGACTTCTGTGAGATTGATATTTTTTGATATTCTTAATGCGATCCATCTAAGGAAAAGAGAAACATTTCAAAAATGTAAAAATCAATAAAAATAAAATCAATTGAAGAAAAGAAAAAATGTTCACTTGTACTATTTGTTCATGAAAACCATCTAGCATACTATATGTATGCGTATTGTATGTATATATGCATCAAGTATTTAAGTGTGTGTTTATGTTCGATAAGTATGTGAAATTTATTAAATACTAATTCGTTTGCAGGGATTACCAAATCATTAATAATTTTAGTATGTCTGCTTTTATATTGACCTGCACTACTGATTCACTATCTTGGTTGAATTTCCCCCTTCCCATATCAATAAGACAATTTTTTGAGCTTCTTTAAAATAAAAATACATTGGAAAATGTAGAATATACTTTCAAAAACATATCTCATGTACCAAATAAGTAGTCCTTTACATATTTAACACGTGAAAAAAGTATGTGCATGTCATTACATAGGAGAATAAAGCCCTTCACAAAGATATCCTGTTAAAAGTATTAATAAAAATTTGTGAAGCAATTGTTACAAACTGGAATTATTGTATTTGTAAAAGATGTGGACAGGTCCCACCTACATGTAGAGACATTAAACGCCACAAGCTTCTAAACTTTAACATCAGCACTTCCAAGAGCAAAGAGAGTTAGAAACTCTACCAAAATCATCTGTACAGATATCGTGTGTGAGACTTCGAGTGCGTTGAATGTTAGTGGATGAGCATTGGTCGAGCTTTCAAGGTTCAGATGAAACCGTAATTTCACAAAAACTCACGATCGTGCCTTTTGACGTACTTGAGCAGGTTCTTGATGACACATAAGCCACTTCAGTGCTCTGGACCTCAATATTTCGATGGAAGCAATTATTGAAGTGTAAAATAATCAAATTGTGCTCGTTTATTACTTGAATGTTGTTTTTTTTCTTTTTCAAATTAAAAAGTCTCGTGGGATGAGACAGAAATCCAAATAGAGGAAAACAAAGCGAACGAAGAGTGTGCACCAGTATCTATACTCCTAGATGTAGTGTCACGAAAAAAAAAAAAAAAAATACCTGAGCTATGTGTGTCGTACCAGTACACACCCAGGCTCTTGCCTTTCTAAGAGTTCTAATTACACAATGCAATTAGAAGAGTACTGTGGCATCCCCGGTGGAAGTAGAGAGCCTTCTCAGGTAGGAAAACCTTTTTCGTTACTTGCCACTCGAGTTGCAGTTGTATAGCTTTTCTCTTTTATCTTCCTTAGCCTTATTTCATGGATGTTTTTTTACTGCCTGCAACATACGAGCGTGCTATTTTTATTTTTTTTTCTTTTTCATTATTTATTTATTTGTTCATACATTTAAGCGTCAAATGTTTGTCCTTTATGTGTTGATTTTTAACTGTGGTCTTAAATTAGTTAATTCAAACCTAAATATCAGCCATTACTCCATATGATACTTGACGAGTATATCTACATATTGTAGAAATATATGAGAACCAAAACTGGATTTCTTAAGTTAATGGTCATAAAAACTACATAAAAAATCAAAATTTAATCTCTTATTCATCAGAGGTCATGATAGATACGTATGCGGCATAATATTACTTATAGGTGCTCGTATCATCCTTTTTTTGGAGTTTTTGCTAATGCTACTATAAGACCCAGCCATCTCCTTTTTTTTCTCTTTGTACTCTTTACCCTTTGACATCTGGAATCAGGCTCGTCCTGATCTCTAATGAATTATTTTCGTATGGAAGTCAGTCTCTTTCTCGGAAAGGACCGAAGGATAAAAGGTAAGAGTATGGATAAAAAAAAACACTAAGACTCAAAGGAGTGACGTGAAGGAGCAGAATTACTTGCTCCAGTGCTTAACGGAGGGAGAACTTTTTTTCCTCTTGGGCATCGAGAGTCGACAAAAGTTCCGAAGCTTTTCTTTCTAGCTTGCTTGTTTTTCTTTTCTCTTACTGCCCACGGTGGGTTAAAAAGGAGAGATAGAAAAAGAGATTGCCCCAAGGAGCTGACGTTATGAACGTTTATTTCTAACAGATGTTTGGCGCAAGCTCTTTGACTTCCATACTCTACGTTGGACCCTACATTCTGCGATCATTGCCTCATTCATCCAGTAATTAAACAATCAAATGTCTTTCTACAGTCCTGCATTACTTAATTTTTTTTTTTTTTTTTTTTATTTACAAAGTAATAATAGTAGTGTAGAAAATTTGTATCCAGTGACAATAAAAGTGGAAAAAAAATTTTTTTTAAACATAGAAACACTGTCAAGCTCGTAATAAAAATATTTAATTTTAGCATGACATGAGAACCCTTATTAAAATAATTATCCGGAGACTTTGTCTGGAAGATAATATAGTCTCTGAAACCACCCCAATATTTCTGTAAGCATGTATTATGGAAGGAGCAAGTTCTTCGGTGTTTATTGCACCTTTGAAACGAACACCTCTTTCGAGCGGACCGTGGTTTTTTTCAAAGAGATAGTTGAGGGTTACATATTTTATTAGAGAACAAGGTTTTTTTCAGTCCCTTTTCACGTCAAAATTAAAAAATGAAGATAAAACGTTCATGTAATAGAAAAGGTACTACTTCCCGCAAGCTCGATCAAAGCAATAATATGGCATTTCATACAAGTAAAACCAGTTTTTTATAACAAAAATTTTTTTGCTGTAAAAATCTCTACAAAAACTTTCATCATATATGGTCGATGAATAAGTAGCAAATAAATACTGTGTTGAAAGAGCATGTGAGTCCTAAACAGATGAACTTTATTAACCTCCCATATACATCGCCTATTTTGTTATAAAGTCTATGCTATTGCAATCGTTTTACATTTAGAGTCAATCTCGTAATAGCCTGAGTATAATATATTATAAATTAAACTTTTAAGTTTGCATACACTTCACACGTTTATTTCAAAAACACTCGTAAAGTATTATAAATCTTAAAATCTATAATATTATTGTTAGTCCTCTCTGACGAGGAAGACAGCCTCCTTGAAAACGGAAAAGGGGATGGTAGCAAAATTTACTATACCGAAAGATTATACCTTTTTTCCCGAGATTAACCGTAAGCGTGTCTTCTTTGCTTGTTTGCAGACACGAAGGGAGTAGCATCTCGGGCAGCAGCGGCAGGAGGAGGAGAATGACGACAACGATAAGGACGCCGATCCCACTAACAGCAGCAGCAGAAACAACAGTGGCAGCGCTCGAGAGTGGCTTAATTGAAAAGTCCCGGGGAAGGTGGTCTGCTGTTCGTGTTGAGACACCAGTGGGAGGAAGAAGGGAGAGGTGGAGGAGGAAGGCAAAGATGATATTGAGACAACGAGTCCTCACTGATTGAAAAGGTCATCTGAGATTTCAAACAGGGGAAGAAAAAAGGTTGAGAGGAAAAAGAAGAGCGAGAGAAGAAGGAGGCTTGAGGGATGTTGGCGAGGTTGGCGATGGCGTGCCCAGAACTGCGGCTCGGTCTCCTGCTTCTTCTTTCACTGTTTGGCCATCTCTGCCACGCTCAGTTTACCTGGACGCCCATTTACGTTGGCGGTGAGAGTAAGTCGCCATAATTTCATGTCATTATGTGATATTGAATGCAGTATAAATTTGGTCATTAAAAATACTTTATCCATTTTTAACAATAATATAGGTAACCTTTTTTACGCCATAAAACAATAAAGAGGGATAGTCAGCACCATATTCTTCCAGTTCTGAACACACGAACATCCATCAGACTTGCCTTAACCATTACGCTAATCTATTTTTCCTACTGTTCCTGCTCAGAGTTGACTATTTGTACGGCAGAAAGTAGAACCCACATGACTTTGTCATTAGGAAAATAAAATTTTACCATGATAGTTTAATCGAAAATACATTATTTGATTATTCACCATCGTATAATTAACGTCAGTCTCTCGTTTATCCTCTCCAAATTTGCTAATGATTGACATCAGCGTAGTAGATGATAATGCGTTAATTTCTACCCTCGTCAGCGGTGGAATGACGTATAAATTTCAATTACTGTACTTAAACCAGATTCAGGACCACGTGCTTTGCAACCTCAATAAAACTTCACTCAATGCACATTTTAATAGTTCAGCTGATATTCTGATACGTTAATTAGCTAGAGTAATACGAATAAGTGTAGCTCAGATAAGCACCTCTAACGTGGCATATTCAGTTAAACACATTTTAATTAACGTAACTGGTGGTAGTAAATATATAGTCAGATAAACCAGCGTTAACCTGTATTGTACAAGTTAACGAACGTTATATATTATACAAAAGCAAATATATATACACCTTTAAAACAATACGCTCATAATATGTATCTTTACAAATAACACAAGTAGTACAAGTTAGTAAGTGGTCAAACGCGTTAGCAACTGACAATATAAACAGATATTAAAGTGAAAGAAACAGGTCCCTTTAAAATAGGATATGTTCATTACACATAGAATAATTAACTTAAGTAGTGCAAGTCAACATGTAGTCAGACGAACCAGTAGTCAACAATTTCATAAACGTGGTGTAAAAAATGAATCATAGAGATTTTTTAAAAGCTGCATTTAATACGTAGCCTACACAGCTTTTTTATAAAGTTCACGTTAATTTACTGCAACTTGAAAATTACAATTAACTACGCTCTACGGTACCCTGCCAGGTTATACGCATTCACTGAACGAGAAACAAAGCTGTGGTCGAACTTTGAATATTTTTAAATCACCGATGTGTATTAACGTCATCACACCCTGATTAGTTTCGAGATACAAAAAAGAATTAAAATAAAAGTACATCTCCGGAGAAGCTTAAACAAGGAATGCGCCCGAGAAACTTTCATGTTAGGTTTTTAATCAGTTTTTGAACTTGTACGAGTACATTTGAGCACTCCAGAAAAGTAATCCCTTTCTCCCCGCAGCCTTTGACGAGATGATGGCCGGAAAATCCATTTGCCTCGGCTCACTCTGCCTTCCACTTTTCTAACGTAACGGAATCATGTGGCTAAGGCTTTGATCCCGGGTCGTGCGTCATTCAATCCACGTATAGCCACGGATCGAAAAGTAATCAAATGTGCTCATGCTTTACCGTTTCACACTGGAAATCAATTCGAAATGTGCCAGCATTAACTCCTTCTTTTTACTCGATGGTAGTTTGTTTGCAGTATTGTTTACGTGTTGGCACAGTGACAAGAGGATTTAGGTTTCACGATATTGCAAAATTTATAATGAGGACAGGTTAGTTTTACTATTAAATTTTATGCAGGTTAAGTGATTTAAAAAAAAAATCCAAAACTCAGTAAGAACTTTGATAATTCAGGGGTACAGTTGATACTTTCATTCAAACGTTTCCTGTAGCACGCACTCTCCACTTAATCTACACTGCGAGAAACAGATTATAAAAATTGTTGTACAGCATGATAAAATTAGTCTCTTTCTCAACTTTTCATACGAGTAAATTTTTTTTTTGTTTCAATTAAGTCAACTATTTTTGCTTTCTGTTTGAAAAGAGTATCTATATTTATATTTCCTTTTTGTTCATGAATTTAGTGAGGTATGCCCACAAAAAAAATTACTACGCTCTTTACTAATATTCATCTGGTTCCCGTTTATGCTTTTTGCTCCACCTTTTAAGCTTTTCAGAAACTAGAAGCTTAATACGAACACGTTTGGTTTAAGATCCATACGTCGTATATTTTTCCCCATGGGTCCTTTAATAAATTAAACCTCCGTCAAACTCGCATTGCACCTACACGCACGTTCGATTCATTTTGCGTTCGCTCTCGGGTCTCCTGTTATTTATGGACATCAACCCCCTGGCCACTCCCAGGTACACCAAATTCCCACGTCGGCAGTTTGTAAACCGAGCCGCTGTAGCCGTAAATTAATTATTCGACAAACGGATTACATCTCGTCCCTTCCTCTGTTCGTATTTCTATTTGCATGACGTCTACGACTGCAGTGCGCCTGTTTTTTTTTTTTTTTTTTTTTAACTCGTTCATGGAGATCGTGAAATGTTTATGAGGGGTAGATTGGAGGGCTTAAATACAAAGAAAAACGAGACCAATTTTCATCTCACTTATTTGGGAATTAACAACTTAAAAAAAAGTGTCAAGAGTGAGGGTTCCAGTAGTCGAGATCAATGTATGATCAGACAGTACTGTTATACGCGAATTTTTATTCGTTATACTCATTATTTTTAATTGGTAACCTTATATCACTTAATCTAAAATATTTTAATCATATAATTAGTAAAAATATTACTCAAAAGGATCAGAAAATACTATTTCATCAAATAAAATCTCGAAACACGGACCACACTACGTTCCGTATGGCCTATCGATTTTCCTTTCCAGCTATTAGATACAACTGCGCCCCTGTATATCAAGCTCTGTACGGGAATTCGTTGACTACGATGTAGCTTCGTTAGAGCTTTGCTATTTTGGCTCCATCCAAGCCTAGCTCTAGCCGAGCCATGTAATTGTAGCACATTAGAAAGCCGATGGAGCGGTGATGGTGGTAGCCGTAGGTACAGCAGAAGTTTCACCGAGTTTGTGTACACTCATGTTGTGTGCCACTTTTATTGAGATGACCAGCACTCCAGCTGGCACTCTAGCGGATTAAGAAGAATCCAGCTTCTGGACGATCCTAATATGATTTTAACTAGTGGATAGGTATGGATAGGTATAGTGGGCATAGTGTTTCAGGACTGTCTGTGTTTCGTTCATCCCAACAATATTTTGCGCTTCAATTTAATTGGCTTTCTAGACGGAAATACTTTTTAAGCTTGATTACAATATGTGGATGGGTTTACTAACCAATAAATCAAAAATTAAATAAATACTATCTCTTGGCATATGGACACCGCAAGAAGAATGACACTTGAGTTGAAACTGCTAAAAATTATTCATATTAAATTAAATGTCTCACTCTTTAGTTATACTGGAGTATTAACATCAACGACGTATACATTACATACAGAAGGTCTCCAGAACACACCCTGATACCACAGGATTATAACCATATGATAATATCGTGGGGTGTAAGCTCTGATGGCCAATCATCGCGGCCCTTTAATCCTCCCTCCTCTTTTTTGGCAATAGTGTCGAGAAAGAATTGTCAAGATTGGGAGAGTTGGAATGAAAACTATCTTACATGCTAGTCATTTTAAATTATTAGAGGAATTTTTATTTTATCAGAACTTTGGCTGCCACTTCGGAAAGCGAGGCATGTAGTATGGAGCTTGGGATCGAGCAATTTGAAGTGATAGCAGATTGATCAATTTCTCGATCAAGAACTTAGTACTAGAGTCAAGAGTGGGTGTGTATATGACTACTTCGAGGAGGTTTTTAAGGGTTGCACTATATGTCTAGCCCATCGCTATCATCATGAACTGCCTGGTAGAAATAACCCGAGAAATTTCGATTAGCCTTAGGTAACATGCTCATACCTTTCTACAACGTTTCTTCTATAACAAACTAAAATAAATTTATTAACCCCTCTGGAATATTCTAACATACACGTCTATGTATGGGTCGTGGAGTCCCACCTCACCACAATAACAATACCAGCAAATAGCCAAAGCCTGGCCAAGATAACAACGAAGGCAGATAATGTACAACTATCCGCCAACCAAATCGAAGGAAACTCGTGTTTCTGGTGGCTAAGGTGTGCAATCGCCGCGGAAAACACCCATTAATTCGAGCCTACGACTAAAGCACTAGAAGCGAAGCCAGACGTACTTGCCCCTCCCCTAGTTTATCTGAGAGAGGGTCTCGACTCCTTCCTTTCATCTTAGCTCCCAATCGATAACGACGACCATTTGACATCGAGAATTCTTCCGACAAGAGGATAGGGTGGGAGGGCCTCGCAGAACATCTAGGCGTATTTATCGGAGACTAGCTCTGATGCCTGGATAGCCGCTAGGGATGGAGGGAAACGATGCTTGAGATGGTTGTTGTTACACGGATGGTGAAGATGGGGAGGGCTGTTAAGGCCATTGAAGCATTTTGATCTGCTCAACAAATGAAGAAATATTTTTAAGTTGTTTATTTGACTTAATGATGTGTCAAGCTTTCATTACTCGGACTTTGTTTTATTTAAATTTTTCAGGTCCCCAAGCCAATCTACGCAGCTGTTTACATGACCTTGCAAAGCTCTATTTTGCTTTACGAAAGCACGCATGTTATCTACCTTTTTAGAAACCTAGCTTTTTATGTATTATTTTATTTGAACTGAAACTTGAATTTAATTGAAGGCGTGAAAATCCTTTGGTGCACTTGACATCATGCAAAAGTGAAGAGCCGCCCTGCGACAGCAAGTAGTATTCCTTTTGACGTTTATCGATCGTATCGCTGTCATTTGCAGATGAGGTGCTTATACCTTTGCATATACGAGGCACCTCTGCTGCGATAACCTGCCCAACAGAATCCTATCTTTTTCCTCTCAAACATATTTTCTCCTTCGTAGAATATATATAAATTTTTGTCAATTTTCGTGTCGTTTTTTTTCTCTTAATTCATGTTGGATGATTGCCGATATTATTTTTTAGGAAGTAGA